AGAGAGAGAGAGAGAGATAGAGAGATAGAGATAGAGAGAGAGATAGAGATAGAGATAGATAGAGAGATAGAGAGAGAGAGAGATAGAGAGATAGAGAGAGAGAGAGAGATAGAGAGATAGAGAGATAGAGATAGAGATAGAGAGAGAAGCACCGCAACAACTAGAAAAGTCCCCATTTTGTTTGTGCTGCTACCTGATGAACTCATTGTCATGTCACCTGGTGCTTTTGGAGCTTCTGATGTGAAACCTGTCAAGCGCAACAATTTAAGCCGTAGTTTTCTTTATATGGTTGAATGATTTCCTGATGCTGAAACCATTTGTTTTTTTTGTTTTAAAGGACACCAATAGTCCATTTTTTTTTAGTGGCACCATAAAGTACGATGACCTCTTACCACAGTGGGATTTAAAGGCGAAGTAAACACTTCCCTAGTCTTCTAAAGGACCATGACAAATCACCCTATTTGCTTAAAATAGAGCAAAGACATGATACGTATTCATGGAGAAAAATAGGCCAGACTGCGGTGGAGCTCGTCCTTCAGTCGAACGGAGCACGCTGTCATATAGACTTGGTCTTGTTTTATCTGCACATGCTTTACTTTAACAGCCGTATGAATCACCTGAAGGCTCTGCGCTGATGTAGGAAGAGTGTGAAGATAGTGCTGTTCCTACGTAGACTCACACTGAGGTGCTTTATTATTGGTTGCTGAGGACAGCTGAGGTCATGGAGGCGGAGGGATTAGGTGTTTAAAACAAAGCCTGCTCTGTTTGATGGGATTCGGCCAAGCTACATACCAGCGCTTCGGTTAGAAGACATTGGTGGCGGTTTGTTGACTATTGAGCTTTGATAGAAAGGTCATTATCGAGGCATTTATATATATATACGTTTTAGATATTTCAAATCCAACTTGTTCCACCAATAGACTTGGGCATAATGCAAAAAGAACATGTTTCTGTACGCCTGTGGAACGGATGAGACGAGCTAGTGCTGACTCGTCTTTAAAGCCTATTTTGAACACACTTCAAATTGGATTCAGGGGGATTTATTTTCACCGTACTTAAAGACTGGAGAGATGTCCACAGTATTGAGTATGTGAGTCGCTTTGGATAAAAGCGTCTAACATGTAATGTCTATTCGTTAGACTTCAACACATTTGAACGTCTGGTAAATAATGGTGTAAAACTGCTACATAACATAACTGCTACATACGTTGAACTTCTTGTGATCTAAGTTTCCGTATTACTTGGTCTTGTATTTCAAAGGAATGACCGTTTTAGGATGTTAAGAAATATCTTTTTAATAACTAATTGTCTCTTCTCGTCCCCTGCCAGGCGTCGTCCCTCTCTCTGAGGGGGATCCTCCAGCTGCTCCGCCAGGACGCAGCGAGCTCCCCCCACCGCCGGCGCCGGCCCCGATTCATCCGTAGGGCCGTCCGTCGCATGAGGAGGTGGGGCTTAATCCCCCGACCCCCGTCCAGGCCGAGTCAGACGACCGGCTCCGCCCAGCAGCAGTCGGACGCCCCTCCCTCCTCACAGGAAGCGGCTCTCTCCCCCCCC